GGTACACAAGCTTCAGAGTCTAGCCTGGGCCCAAGTCTTGGCTTTGCCCTTCTTAGTCATCAGGGTGGGCTGATCTTCTTGAGCTTCAGTTTCCCCATCAACAAAGGGGATAACAATTCTTACCTGATAGACATGTGGTGGAGTGCCTGTTATAGTGCCTGGCACACATAGAAAGCACTCAGTAAATGGTAGCTATGAGCTCTAATTCGTTTGAGTGCCTGGGCCTTCTTAACGCAGGGTAGGAAGTGCATGGTGGTAGGGAAAGAAGGATTCTGGAACTACCCTACCTGGCAGGGGAATTTCCTTCTATTCTCCAACTTGAAAGTGCTGTTGACAAGCGCAGTGTGTTGTAATGCATGGCATTTCTGGAAACTTCTCAGTAACAACATGTGACAGAACCTACTGGGGGTGGTGAGAATTGAGCCCCATTGGCTGTACTCACAACCAGCAGCATCAAAGTCGGGTCTGGGACAGAACTACTTCTTCCCAGGCACTACTGTACCTTTACTATCAAACATTGTGGATTTTTTTCCTTCTGAGAAGTAGTAAAAAAAAAAACCAATAGTCATTGCCTACTGAATGCCTACTATGTGCCAGGTGGGCGGCAGGGGAGTCCATTCGTTATTTTATTGAATTAACACCATAACATTTTGAGGTTTTATTTCCTTTGTCAGAAGAGAAAACTGAAGCTGACAATGAATAACTTATCTGAAGTCACATAGCTAGAAAGTTAACAGAGCTGAGATTTGAACCACAGAATTTCTTTTACTCTTGAGCCCAATGTAGTTAGACACTGATGCATGCCCACATTTGAGGTCGTGTGTGATCCTACCTGTTTTGTAGATGGGGAAGCTCAGAGAAGTGAAATAACTCAACAAAAATAGATAGATGGCTGGAAAATGGTAGGGTCCGACATTTGTTCGTGGGCTAATTCTGACCTGTATGTGTTCTCCATTAGACTATACTGCCTGTCAAGGAGGGTCAGTGGACCCATTTTATAGATGAGGAAGCTGAGGAGACAAGAGAAAAAGCAAAGGCTCATGGAAGGAGACTTGGCGGGGGAGGGGAAGTCCCTGAGTGTGACAGAGCCCCAGGACAGGTATCCCTAAGCAGGATCAGAACCGAGGTATATATGCTATGGGTTCCCCAGCCCAGTCCTCTCCCCAGACATTTGCAGGGGAAAATTGACAGAAATGGAATGTCAGAAGCAATCCTGAAGGAAAGTGCAGCCTGAAAGCAAATTGTGGCCTGAGAGAATATTGGAGGCCCAGAGAACCCAGGGACATTTCACTCCTGCCAGTGAGGGTACGACATATGCTATTGCTTTTGTAATACCACTTGCAAGAGCCATCTCATTATTCCTTTCTTGTCATCTTCCTGCATCACTACCCAGTTGTGAGTCCCTGCAGAAGTGGACAGGGCAGAGGGCAATGGAACTGGCCCCCCAGGTCACAGTACCCAGTGATATAAGCCTTGCTTCTGCTCCTACAGAATCCTCTGAAGGGCTGGGGATGGACTGCAACCAGACTGGATGGTGGGGAGCAGAGCAGGGAACTGCCCCTTCTGCCCAGATGTGGAGGAAGTTCATCCAGTCCTAGAGGAGCAGAGGACAAGCTGGCAAAATGAGAAAAAAAAAAAAAAAAAAAAAGGAAGCTACAGTTAAAGACACTAAGGGGCGCCTGGGTGGCGCAGTCGGTTAAGCGTCCGACTTCAGCCAGGTCACGATCTCGCGGTCCATGAGTTCGAGCCCCGCGTCGGGCTCTGGGCTGATGGCTCAGAGCCTGGAGCCTGTTTCCGATTCTGTGTCTCCCTCTCTCTCTGCCCCTCCCCCGTTCATGCTCTTTCTCTCTCTGTCCCAAAAATAAATAAACGTTGAAAAAAAAATTAAAAAAATAAAATAAAAAAAAAATAAAGACACTGAAACTCCCAGAGACTTAGCAGCTAAGGTAGGGCAACGTCCACACTCAAGGCACCAAGAAATCATACTGAATTAGAGAGAAGGTCCGAGATAACCTACTAATCTGCCCCTATAGAATTCTTCATGCCCACCTCACCTGTGGTTTAGAGGGGGGTGAGCTGGAGCCCTCCTCCCTAGGGACGCAGAGAAGCTCACACGAGTGTGCACAGCAAGGCAGAGAGACAAAGCAAGGCATGGTGTAATCTCCCTTCCCTGCCTTGGGGGGCTCCTCAGCTCTCTCCCTGTCCCCCCATGTAGATCAGGCACCACCTGGCAACCTCCAATTCTTTTTTTTCTTTTTTAACCACTCTTGTTTGGGGCAGAGAGGATGGCAAGTTTGCACTTGTCCCCCAGCCCTATACGTAATTGGTGGCAGCACGTAAAGCAGCTTCAAGGGGAGGGGTTTGCCAATGGAATGAAAGAGGGAGGGAGTCCTAGGGTGACAGAGCTGGCAGGGACCTGGGAGATCATTTGACCCAAACTTTTGTGGCCTCCACACCATTTCCATCATCTGTGTGCTTCCATCCCATCATCTCTCATGCCAAGCAGGCATACTCAAGACCTCCTCCTCCAGGCTTCCTAAGGGCAACTGTCTCCTTTCCACCAAGGAGCTAATCCACCCTCTCGTTTTCTAGAATACACTGAGGCCCATTGAGATGTGACTTGCCCAAAGGCAATCTTCATCCCAGGATACAGACAGGACAAAAAAAAACTCAAATGCTTAAGTCTGTTTCCATCCTCCTACTTTTCTACTCAATCCCTAGGGAAGGAAGGGCTCAGTTCTTCTCCCTGGGGGCTCAGGAGATCTCTGACATATCACACCTGTCACCTAGCTGATGTGGGCTGCCAGTGTCAAGGGTCTAAGAACTGAGTTATTTTCAGGATGATTCTGGTCATTGTCCCTTCCTCCTGGGTACCCTAAGGGCTCTGTGAGGTTAGTCTGAGTCTCAGGGTCCTCCTCCCTGCAAAAAATTTGCTCTTAGGGTGCCTTAGTCAGTTGAGGGTCTGACTCTTGATTTCAGCATAGGTCATGACCCCAGGATCGTGGGATGGGGCCCCACGTTGAGCTCCATGCTGAGCGTAGAGTCTGCTTAAGATTCTCTCTCTCTCCTTCTGCCCCTCTCCCCTGCTTGCATGCTCTCCCTCTCTCTTTAAAAAAAAAAAAAAAAAAAAAGTGGCTCTGAAGCATAAGTAACTGCCTGGATCCTGGCATGGTCTCAGGTTGACTGAAGCTCCATACTCTAAGAAAGCCTTCACCACCTTTCAAGGGGTCTTTCCTCTAAGATAAAAGAAAATGTCTATAAATCCATGGACAGTGTCCATGGTTTGGAGACACTGCTTTTATGCCCTTTGCCTTTATTTTTAAAAATATCATTTATTTTTCCCCTGTTACCCCGCAGTTGGAGACACAAAGGGTTAAGAATGGACCAGTTATTGGCCTCTTGGGTGGCTCAGTCTGTTAAGCTCAGGTCATGATACCATCTCACAGTTGGTGAGTTCAAGCCCCGGGGATGGGCTCTGTGCTGACAGCTCAGAGCCTGGAGTCTGCTTTGGATTCTGTGTCTCCCTCTTTCTCTGTGCCCCTCCCCTGCTCGCACTCTGTCTCTCTCTCTCTCTCAAAAATAAATAAACATTAAAAAAAAAAAAAAAAAAGAATGGGCTAGTTAGGACCACATCTTGAAGCTGCGAGGGCAAGCTTGGAGAAGTATGTTGTGCAGATCTTTGTGTCTGTATTTACACACATACGCATATTCCTGGGGGTTAGCTTTTGCCCCTGTGCTGAGTGCATGACAGTGTTCTACATGTGAGCCCACTTCTATATGGGTAGGGTGACTCAGTGGTCTACCTCCAAGGCCTTAACGGCCAGGGAGTCTGCCCTGGCGCTGGCAGGTTTAGCTGGGGGGCAAGTCTACTTTCTTCTTGGTCCTCAAAGTGCACTCAGCACTAGAAGTGGGTACTGAGACCCGAGGGTGGGGGGATGTGGTGGAGGTAAGAGTTGGAAGGGCATCACTCGGCCCGAAATCGGTGTCACTCTCAGTTTTTCGAGGTCCTATGTGGCTGTATCTCGCGTGTCGGGCTTTGTCGGCGGACGTGCCTGGGCGCCAGTGCGGTCCTGTCTGCCCCAGCCTCCCCGACACCCCGAGCTCTCTTTGTCTCCTCGTGGAGGTGTGCGTGCAAACCTGCGTCGCACGGCCCTCATCTCGTGCGAGAGTGGGGGGCGCACCCTAGCTCCCCCACTCTTTCCGCCGGGAGAAAGGACGAGCCGGAGCCGGGTGCTGTTTGGTCTGGAGCCGAGCGGGGCTTGCATTGATCCATTGATTGTGCGCGGTCTGCGCCTGACCTCCCTGCTCCCGGGGAAGCCGTCTCCATGGAGACCGGGCCCGCTCCCCCAGCGCCGGATTGTAAATTCCTGCAGGCAGCGGCCCGGCAGCCTGGGGAGGGGGCCGCTGCGCCCGGGAGCGCAGGGGGAGCGGCCGCCGCGCCGAGGCCCCATTTGAAAGAAAAAAGGGCACGAAAAAGGAGGTGGTGGAGGAGGAGGGGGAGGAGGAAGAAAACGAAAAGGAGCGAGGAGAGGAGGAGAAAGAGGAGGAGGAGGAGAAAGGCGAAGAAAAAGAGACGGAGCCTGAGAGACGGAGAAGGAGCGAGAGAGGAAGAAAGAGAGGCAGAAAGGGCGTGTTTCTGGCGCTGCGTTTCCCCTCCCCTTTCTCAGGTCCCTCGCTCGGGCTCTGCGCGCTCTCCGGCTGCAGCTCTCTCCGGGCGAAGCTGGGAATTGGGTGGGATTACACGCAGCAGCCCCGCCGCCGCCGCTAGCCGAGCCCGGCTTGGAGAGGGCGGGGGTTCCCCTCCGTCATCGGCGCCGGGCGCCCCCAGCCTCTCTCCGCCTCGCTCTCCCCGACGTCGGGCCGGGAGAAGCCGGCAGCATCGGGAGCCTCCCGCCGAGGGCACCGCGGTCCGCACCCCGCTCCCGCAGCCCCCGGTCCGGCCCCGGCGGGACGCCCCCTCCCCTCCCCCCTCCGCCGCGCGGGGGCCCGGCCGGCTTCCGCCCTCCGGGGGCTGCGAGACCGGCCCCGGCCGCCCGGCCCCCGGGAGCTCCAGCCATGGGCTCGGGGCGCGTGCCCGGGCTCTGCCTGCTCGTCCTGCTGGTCCACGCCCGCGCCGCCCAGCACAGCAAAGCCGCGCAAGGTAAGGAAGGAGGGGCGCGCGGCGGCGGGGCTGGGGGGGCTGCGGGGCCCGAGGGCGGGGGTGCGATTTCCGAGGGGCAGGGCAGGTGCTGGGGAGCGTGCCGCTGTCAGAGCCTAGCACTGTGCACCCGCACTCCGGCTGGGGACCTAACCTCTGGGCGCTGCGTCCCGGGCGAAAGGCTGGAGGAGCCAGGAGCGACACGGAGCAGTGAGAAGTTTGGGGGACCCTGGGCAGAAGTCGCCACGCACCTCAGAATTCTTCCCGACTTCATTGCCACCCCAGCATCTTCGAAAGACTTCCTGTCCTCCAAAAGTTTGAGAGAGAATCTTCTCTTCTCAGACATTGCCAGAAACTTAAGCTGTGGCCTGGAGAGACTGAGAGAATGAAACTTTTCAGCCATGCCATGTATTTCTTCCCCTCACCCCCAGCCCTCATGCAAAGTCAGACAAAATTTCCAAGTTGTCTTATCAGTAGAAAAATGTTAAAGAAAAATAGGATCTTTTCTGGAAAAACCAGCTCGTCTCTCACTGGATGGTAAGGGGCTGAAGAAGAGAAGAAAATTTCTGACTGGCTCCCAGCAAGAATGTCGCTTTCTGCCTCTTTGGGGGGAAATCTCTTTCGTCTTGCATGGCTTTCATTTCTTATCATAATATTTATTTATTAAGGCCTCGGGTTTCCAATTCCATTTAAATCCAGGTCAGAATTGCATTAAAATAACAAAGTAAAATTCCAGGCCGGGGAGCTCTGACAGATCCCTCTAGGAATTACAGAGAGAGAGAGACAGGGAGGCCCTCCGGCCCCCATCCCTGACCCCAGGCTCATTGCCTGGCCAGTCCCAAGGCTTTGCTGGCAGAAACCAGGCTGGTGGGCTACAGATCTCTTGGGGACAGCCTCCCCTCCCCCTTGACCTCTTGCTGCACCCTTCCCCCATCATGTCCTCACCCAGGAAGAGATTTATATGGACAAAAAGAAAATTCCTCCTGGCAACGCTTTGCTGAGGAGGATATGATTCTGCCTATTGTCCCAGGGGCTCCTGAAGCCAAGCTGGGGTGTGGAAGTGGCTGAGCCAGAAGGGAAAGTTGAACTTGGGAGTTGGGGAAGCCTGAGTCTCTGACAGTCGGGTCGCTGTGTCCCCGGGGACTGAGCACCTGGCCCTTAAGCTGCTCTGTGTACTGGATAGGCTCCCACTTCATTAAAAGGAAGGTGCCATATCAATGCCATCCTCTTCTCCCAAACACTGCCTCTTCAACCACCCCCTTCCTCCTCCAACCTGTCCTTTAACAGAACCCGAGTACTAGAGATTCTCAGCTGTCACAGACCAGACCCCACCCCCACCCCTTCCCACCCCAAACTGCCTCTTCTCCCATCCTGCTTCCAGACAGCCCACGACCACTGCCACCCCCAGCCTGGGAGCAGCCCTTCTCCCACTGTGGATTTGCTTGTGTTTTCATAAACAAAGCTGGCTTTTGTAGTGTGTGCTGACTTACTCATAACATGGAATTAGCTAGGGAGTTTAGTCTGAAGGAAGGAACAGATTTCATTCGAGTAATCTAGAGACAAGATAAGGACCTCTTTCAACTTGGAGCCAGTGTCTGTAGTGGCCTAGTGAGGCTGGGGGGGGGGGGGCTGAGGGCAAAAGGGGGAGCAAAGAGTATATTCAAGGGGGTTCCCAGGGCTGATGGAGATTCCTAGAAGGGACAGGTGCCAAGCGGAGATCAGCTCATTGTTCAGGGACAGAAGGACTCAGAATCCCTCCGAGGTGCTTCCTCTTTCATCAGACACCCTGCTGGGTGCTGTGGGGATATGCAGCCAGAGTGGAGGCCCCTGCCCTCAAGGAACTTACTAAGAGTTTTGTTCACTATTTATCTCCTATTCAGGCCACACTCACTCTGACTGGGCTGCAATTAGCTGTGCATCTTCCTTCCTTCTGATCCCTGAGTCTAGCCTGGCATAGAGTGGAAACTTGTCATTTTAGCTACCTTTGATGCTGCTATTCAGGAAATATATCAACCTGGACTGCCAGAGATTGCCTAACAACAGGTCTGTTGGGCTAGAGGGCTATCTCTGGACCCCAATCTGCAGGCCAGTGCCACAGGAAGGACAAGTAGTGACAAGCAGCCTTACCCATAGATGGGAGTGCTGTGGTCATCACTTGCTCCCAAACATATCTCCTAGGTGTCACTAGTGCCAGCAGGTGTGCCCTTATGCCACATGTTTTTAAAGGAAGCTCTAGTGGGTTTCTTTAAATTATAGAAACTCTTGGCAAATACCTTGCACAGTTATTATACCTCTGGGTGTAGTGTGTATATGTGTGTGCGGGTGTGTGTTTATATGTAGAGTACAGGTACTATATACTTAAGCGCCTTTTCTCCAGAGATTCCATCCTCCCAAAGAACCAAAGTGGAAAGGGATGGGGAGGATGGGGAGAGACAAGGAAGGAAGCCCTGAGTATATAGGTGAGTGTGTGTGTGAGAGGGAAGTTTACCATGCTCACCCACAGGTGATGTAGTTGGGTGTCAGTGTCTACTGTGATTTGGTTATTAAGCGTGGATATGTACACTTTAGTATCTTTGAGAACTGTGTGTGGATTGAGTGGGTGGGTAAGCTTGTGTGACTACGAGTGAGTGAGCATGAGGGTACATGGTTTTGAGTGTTTTTCAAGTGCCTGTCTCTGTATTTTAAAGTAGACAGACTGGATAACCCAGATAATTGTTAACTTAAAAGCATTAATTTGCTTTGCTTTTTTTGGGGGGTGGGGGGGGGGTGTGCAGCAGTGGTTAAAAAGACCTAATCCTTGCTTAGGGCTCAAGTTACAGCTGAATGAAAAGGTCTCCTGGCCTCCCGGGGAAAACTTGTCCCCAGGGCTGGCTCAGGAGAGCCAGCCTGGCCGTTTAGTTTACCTGGTTGTTTTCTCTTCTCATTAGGGATAAATTTTTGATAAAGTCTTGTATTTAGAATTTCCAAGTAACACCATCCCTGGGACTGAGAGCGTTCCTCTGGCAGCAAACAGTGTCTCTCTGTCTCTGTACGTCTCTCCGGGTCTCTGTCTGGGAGTATGTGTGTCTCTCTCTTTCTTTCCCCCACCCCTCTCTTCCTCTTTAATGTGGCTGTTTCCTCTCCTCCCCGCTTCCCTAGGCTCCTGTGGCCAGCTCTTACAGTGAGGGGACTGTTCCTCCTAGCCCCTCCCTCCAAAATATGAAATGAAAACCATAACCGTGTCAGCGGGTGAGGGTGGCCCCGTCGGCAGCGGCTATTGCCCGTGCCCCATCCAGGCCATACTGGGGAGAGCGAGAGAGTCAGTCCCCACTCTTGGAGCCTGATCTTCAATCAGTTGCTTCTAAGCCTGTCTTCCTCCCCTACTCCCATTTTTCCAGAAGGGTGGAGAAGGGGGGGTGGACTACTTAGAAATTCCTCAGGAATCCCTTTGACCTTTCCTCTCTCAGTGACATGTCCCCCAGGGTGGTGGGGAAAGGCTGGGGCCAGGGAAGAACTTCTCTACTTCTTCCCCCTCATCTCCTGGAGTGTCTGCAGGGTGGAATGAGAGAGGGGAACAGAAGACACGGAGGCCAGAATTACTACAGGCAGAGAAAGAAGAAAGTTATCAGCAACCCCTAAATGAGATTGTTTTCTGAAACCTTCAGGAATCTGAGAGCATGAGAACCGGTTTGAGATGTGAGCGGCTGGGACCTGTTGTAAAAGGAGCTGGCCCTGGGTGTGAGTTTGGGAATGTGAGGTGTGCGTTCACTGGGGCGTGCGAGCGTGCGTGTGCATGACTCAGGGTGTGTGTGTGTGTGTGTGTGTGTGTGTGCGCGCGCGCGCGCGTGCGTGTGTGTGTGTGTGTGTGTGTGTGTGCGCGCGCGCAGTGCTCCAGTGAGAGGAAAAAGGAAGCGGGGCAGTGTGCGTTTTGTTTTCGTTGGAGAAGTAAAGAAGAGGAATGGCTTGGTCCAGTGCCTTGGATTGAGGGTGGGGGAAGGGAACGGATGGCTTCAGACCCTCTTGAGAAGATGGAGGTGGAGGGGCTCGCTGCCGGAACTCACCCCAGTCCCTGCTCCCGATTCTGGTCCCCGCGTGTCAGGGTGTGGGCCTCCTTTGACGTCCCGTACCCCTAGCACATGACCACTTGTAAGAAAGAGTCCCTGTCAGCGCTGGAAACTGCAGAGCTGCTCTGAGGCTGGCAGTGCCCGCAAGAGGCCCAGACCTGGGGACAGCTTCTTCAGGCTCAGTTATGAGACAGGAGTCTGGAAGCAGGGACTGCTGGTCCTTGGGGCGAAAGTGATACAATTGCCAACCCAGGGATGTTTGAGGGGTACAGGAAACAGTCACCTGGGCTAGGAGGGGGCATAGACCCTCCCCTCTCCCCCGTTGGCCCCTCTGTCACCAGACTGGCCATTCTCCTGCCATGCCACGTACTGCCATCTCCAAATGGCATGTGCTGGGGCATTTGGTGCCAGTGGGTTTTGGTAGATGCAGAGCCTGAGGACTGGGGCCTTTGAGGAAATAACCGAAATTCTCTTCCTCACTTGTAAAATGGACTAGAGTATCAGTAGGGTCCTTTTCAGCTCTGAGATTCTGCATATCTCATTGAGATCCTTCCTGCTGAAGGCAGAAGACACTATAGCAAGCCTTGGTCCTGCAGCCAGGCTTCTGCAGGCTTCTCACCTGACACTCAGGCCCTCTTTTCCCTGGACCCTACTCTACTGTTCCCTGCCTGAGTCTGTCACTTGGCTACTCCTCCCTTCTTGCTCCACCTCAGTTTCCTGGGGCCACAAGTACCTGATAGCTCTCTGTCTTTAAGTAGAGTATTTCCCCCTCAAAACAGCCCCAACAAAACAAATGTGTGTTTGAGCGTGCGTGTAACAACATTGGAAAGTGGAGCTGAAATGTCTGTATTCTGGGAACTGAATACTATCTGGGCAAGGCCCCTAGGCCCCAGTCCTTGGTCCTACATCATAGATTCTCAGCTCCAACACTAGCCCTCTGTACTCTGCTCCAGCCTCGAC